ACAAGTCAAGACCAGCAGCCAAGGAAGCAAGATGCCTAGCAAAGACCCCAGAGTATACCCTAACATCAGTCATTTTGGGTATAATATTCAAGGAAAAAGAAAAAAAGAAAAACCAAAGCACTCCTGATGGGCTCAACTCTTCTCCAAGCGGTAAAGACAGCCTGGATAAAAATGGAGTTATGTACTCAAGGAACTGTCACTGCCTTTGCAGTTTGGTCAACAAACTGAACTGTTCATTTGTGCCTTGTAGGCATTTTATTTCTCTCAGTCTCCAGATGACATTCCAATAGGAAGAGGATTATGAGCAGATGCACCTATTAAATATGTAAAATTCACATTTTCTTTTCCACTTACTTAGAAGATGTATTTCTAAAGAGAGTAGAAAGTCATCTAATATGAAAACAGACAGGTAGAAAAAAATCTTACATGCATTTTTTTTTAAGCACACAAGAACGCAAGTGGGCTCAGCAATCAGCTTTCCATAGAAAATAAATGCAAGCAATTAAAAATTCAGTATCTTTTCTTTAAGCTAATTCCTCAGGTTTTGCTAATTAGCAACAAATAGTTCTGTCATCTGAGCTGGAAAACATAAGGAAGAAAAGCAGTGGCATGTTTTCAATCGCAGCACTTGTATGGAAGAATGAATCATATTTTCCATGAGGAATTACTGCTTGGTAGCAGTTGAGGGCAGAAGTAAAGCAGTCGTCACAACTATAAAACTGTGAAAGAAACCTGAAATTTTAGAAAAGGGGGCACGGCATCTTTCTTCCTTCCTTCCTTCTGTAAAACAAAACCAGCAGGAAACCTATAGGACATGACTAGTGAATCCAAGAAACTCCCACAAAGACTCCTGCAGACACAGTTAGAGAACTCAACTTTTCACTGTAAAACTAAGACAGAAGACAATGAAACCACATGTTTTCTGCAACAGGGAGGAGAATAAAAGTTAAATGTCGCCCAGGGTATAAGAATTCTTTAACTATTATGTCACCTGCCTTGCAAATTTATAAAAGAATAAATACATGGCAGTAAGTGAAAGCAAGGGATGAAGGTAATTTTAAATATCTGGCTACAGATGGAACAGGAGCAAAATAAAACTACTGAAAAATCTTTGAACAGGAGATGGGGGTCCTTATTCTGACTCCAACATATGCAGGTCAGTTCCCTCCAATCTGGCTCCTCCCATGCTTTCCCCAATTATCAAGCGCTAGTGATCCCATAGCAGCGAGCCTGTCAGCACAACACCATGTCTGAGCCATGCAGCCTAAATGTCTACTTTCTGGCCTTGATATACAGCCCATCCACAGCTTCCTTCACGAGAGAATAAACCCCTAAGGCCCCCACGAGGACTTTATTCCAAACATATGTTGCAAATGTTTGAAGTGCCCACTATTCCTGGGTTTTCTTTTTCCTTTCCTTTTTATTTTTTTAAGTCAAACCCACAAAACCTAAAATACTTTGAATCCTGCCTAAGTGCAATTTGTGAAGATGCAACATTGCATACCCAAGTATAATAAAGTCTTGTGCAATAAAAGTTTTACAGATGTCCTTCTGAGGGGAAAAAAAAAAATTCCCTTTTTCCGGTCTTACAGGAAGCCTGCCCACACGTTAGAAATACAGTTAGTATATATAGAAGCACAAATTAGGCATCTTGGAAAGTCTGCATTTTCCAACCACAGAAAAATGAAGGAATTACTGTGAGTGCTCAGATACCCAGCTACACTGGGTTAGAAAAGCCTTTTCTCTCCCACAGCTTGGTAAAGCTGCATATGACTCAAAAGAAAAGAGAATGGCCTAGAAACGTGTTTCTGAATCTTGAGGTGCTGAAAGTCTGCAATGAGCTTGTGTTATTGACAATGCTGCAGGACTGAGACAAGGTAAAGAAAGGTGATTAAACTTTTACATCTCATTTTTAAAAGAGGGTACTTTTCTCATACACTAAAAATTTCTAGATGTATTAACTTCAGCATCATGCTGGTTATTAGATTTACCTAAATAATTCAATGCAGATAAGGTACATAGATTTTATTATAAAGAACCTAAAAATACTCTTTATAGTGGTAAAAGATTAAATAATCCAACAGAGTTCTAGAAGTAAAGTCATATCCTTTCTGATTCTTGAGACTTAGTTTAAGACATCTTTAAATTATTTAATATGAATAAATAATATTGAACCTTTCCTTTTCTGTATCTATTGTATTTGTTATATAAATACTTTCTGCCAAGAATTTAAAATGTTAAAACATCTCAAATTTATTTAAGTTTTAAATTTTCTTTATTTACAAAATAGGAAAAAATTATAATCAATCCACTAAGGTTCTGTGAGAAAGGATTAAGTTCAGAAGGCCACAGCACACAGTTCTCACCACACCAACTCTTTCCTAGGGTTTGTAAACTGCTTCACCACTAGTTTACATTTATGGGAGACACTGACCTCTTATAGGCGAGCAGGTTTGGCAGAGAAAAGCCAGTCTGCCCTAAACCAAACACAACTTCAGTACTACCAAAAACAACTTGGTTTGGAGAATGAACTTATCGCATGCAGATGATGATGATGGTGGTGGTAGAACAGAAGGAAAAGGGGGAAGAAGGAATAGGAGGAGGAAGACAAAGAGGCAAAGAACAACTACCATATTTTTGAGGCACTCAACATGAGCCAGAGATTTTTACAAAACACTTTATTTTCACTGTCTCACTTAATTCTCACGAGAATACCATGGGGCAGGCAGACAAAATCAGCCTCATTCAACAGTTAGGAAATGATTCTTAGAGGGGTCAACGCACTTGGCCAAGGTCACTCAGCCACAAAGTGTGGCAAAGCTGGAACTTAAATACAAATTTGGGTGCTAAATCAATCTGTATAATCTCTAGGACTTCCTGTCCATATTATATTTGTAATAATACTATTTATTTATGATCAATTTAGGGAGTATGTTGGGATGCTGGGTCAAGATAGCACGTGCTATTATACACTTATATTATCCATTATACTTATATTATACATACACATTGTGCCATTATACAACTTATATAGCATTTATCATGTGATTTTAACAGTGATTTGAAAAACATTGTGAGAAAAGATGAAAAATAACCAATATTGGTGCTATATTTCCTAAACAGAGTGACAATGAATGGACCCAAGTCCCACTAAGAGCTCTCCTGTGCTCAGGGCTAGTTAATCCACTAGAGGCCCAAGAGGAGGGTCATACATGCAAACCATAAAGAGGTGACAAGGGTCTCAGGTGTGCCCCTCAAATGACAGCGAGAAGATTGAACAGGCAAACCGTTAAAACAAATGGACCAAGAACAAGCTGCATTTTGAATGGCACAGAGAAAGTTAACGGTCATCTGCCTACTTCTGTCAGCCAAAAACAAAGTACTTTTCAGCTGTCTTGACCAATTAAATACTTCACTAATTAGTGGGCATCTGGAACAGAAAACAAAACATAAACACGTGGGAAAAGTTTTGTTCACACATATGGACAAAGACAACGCAAGGAGTTTATGGCTAATAATCTAGACTTGATTTTTGGAAAAAGTAATTGTACTATCAGGGAAAATTAATATAGGTAGAAAGTATGTAGATTCTCTCAGATTTTCTGCATGGATGATATCTAGTAGAAATCCATAAGTAAAAATACAATGTAGAAAACAGGGCTGTGCCCTGAGAAAAACCCATTTCATTCCTAAAATACAAGTAAAATAAAATAAAATGAAATAAACCTTTAATGAGGAAAGGAAAGGAACATGTACACTACACCTCCTCATTCTGTATCTGTAAAAATAACTGCAGCAAAAAGATTGATAAGCACTTTTTAAACTGAGAAGTTGTAGACTTTTTAAGAATCCATAAAACCTTTTCCTACATGCTTCTGATCACTTAAAAAAAATTCTCTCTCCACTTAAAAAAATAATGGATCCTTCCATCTTTACCAACAATATGATCTGGTGAGGGGGTGGCGAGGGGCAGTCACTGAGATTTCGAGTTACATGAGACCCTTTGATCTGCACCCTGATGAGGGACCATCCCCCTCTGCTTCGAGCCAACTAATGAAGGGATGGAATTAGCTTTTATCCTGGGCACTTTCTTGAGGAAGAAAACATGTACTAATCAGCTGTCCTCACTAATCAGTCATCTGGCTAATGACCTTTTGCCTTAAAACACTAAAATTTCTGAATGATGTGGAAAAAGGGAAACGAGAACCAATCCCCCACTCTGGAGCTCAATGGATCATCTGGAATTGGAGCCAGGAAGGTTAAATGGCAAGTCTGTATCCTGGCAAGGTGATAAATCTGTAATCAAGAGCTGCAAGCGTTGGCACCTCAATACGAACTTCATTAGTCTACAACCAAATTATACTTTTTAACTAGAAACAGAACCGAAATAAACTCAATACATATATTTTTCTTTTTACTCTGACTTTAAAGAAAACCATCATATATCTGTGTACAGAGTCCTAGTTGATTTCTTAAACATTAGTGCTAGAAAAAGGAGCTTCTGATGTTTCTGGTGTGCCGGTTAGAGAAAAAAGTAGAGCATGCAGAAAAATCTTCAGTGTTAAGGAGTTCAGCACTGATTTGTTGAAAATTTGTTCCTGCTCAACAATTAAGCAAAAAATCATTAAAAATGGGAATTGCTACTGTTAAAGACTTCAACTAATGCAGCCCACTTTAATAACTCCCCCATCGACCAAGTTTCCTCTTGCAGGGTCTAGCTGGGTGAAGCAAATCTGGTTCCAGTTTCCAGGAGAGGTCCCAGTGGATGAGCCACAGATGGACACCTTCCTGAAGGCTGCCTTGCTGAGGCCTGAAGTTACTTAGGGGTGTAAGGAAATGGCTCTCCCTAAAAAGAACAGACAGGAAGTGGAAGAAGTAAAAAGAAAAGTGGACAGTATATTGAACGTTTGTATAAATTAATGCTAGCAAAATAATTCATAAAGTGTCTGCACAGCCTCCCATGGCTCTAAAACACATGCCCTGGGGCAGGACCCACTTACGGTAGTGAGGCTCCATGTAACCGTTCCTGGGGTCCATGGTGAACACAGCCCCACGGTATGGGACGGAGGGCTCAGCCAGGTGGGGCAGGGACCCATGGACCTCCTTCTTGATCAGCGAGGCTCTCTCGTCACTGGATGTTGAAGGCTCCTCACTGGTCTTACTGAGCCCCTGGACACTCTGTGGCTGCATAGTGACCGCGTTTCTTCTCTCTCTGTGATAGGTCTGTCCAGGACTTTCATCCTCTAAAGAAAGAAGAAACATAAAAGCTCTGTAACTACTTTAAGGAGCAATATTCAGAAACAGTCATCAATTAGATATTCCCTCAAAAAGGAAGCCGATTTCTCATTCCCGACAACTTTGAAAGCTGCGCCAAGATGGGATGTTCTTCAGACAAGGTTGCTTATGAAGGAAGACAAATGGAAGGACAAAGGGGAGCTGGAAATGAGCCTATTAAATTGAGATGCAGAGGCTCAGTAAATTATCATCATCAGCTTACTGCTGACCCTGCCAATGGGGCTCTTCCTCAGGGACTTGCCAATGTCCCCACAGGTCCCACTGGAGCTAGACATTTTGTCAGCCTAGGACTGTGAGTGTCCAGCTTCCCCGAGTCTTGAGAAAGCTGGCCCTCTGGGGTTACAGGAGCTTGAACACCCACTGAGGCTCTGGGCGATCCTGGGGTTGAAGGGCCTCTGTTCCTCAGAGGATAACCTATTAGAAAGTGACTCAGAAGTTTTCATTTTCTTAAATCAAATTTGTAACTCACTGAGATATTTAACAAAGTCAGAAATGTGACAGAAAACATACTGGTTACCAAGGTTAAAGGTGCCGATCATGGAAACCTCCAGGGCCCCTTACAAGATACTTCCAGCTTCAGCCCATAGAACAGATCTGAGAACTAGAAAGAAAAAGGAGTGAGGCTGAAAAGTTCAAGTGAGAGATGGCTCTGGGGGTAAAGAAGGCATCAGTTATGCTGATGCGTGTACATGCTCTGGTGGCTTCAAACATGTAAGAAACAGCCTGATGAAATTCCACATATATTTGATATTCCAGCTCTCTAATTCTTCTGTTCTCTTTGATCTGTAAGAACTTTCCATCTATCCACTATGGTTCTCTGTAAATGTAATCGAATGACCTTTCTATAATAGCAGATCAAAGAAACAATGCATAAAATTAAACCAGACTGGTGATCTTAACCCACAACAAGTGAACCAATTCATCTGTTAGAATCACACACAAACTCTAAACCACATATGCCCAAACAAGCTGCATTTAAACAACAGACTGTCCTCTGGCAGATAAAAGTTGATAGAAACAAAGTTGGTCAGACATTGTTTAGACATCTAATTTGAAAACCCTTTCCTACTCCTGATTTAAGAATAAAAAACAAAACAAAAAAAAACAAAAAAACTATATCTGGGTATGAATAATAATTTTGTTGTACATTTTAGATGAACAAATTTTGAACACATCTTATTCCAATATACAAACTTTCCTTCAAAGTATTCTATAAAGCAGATATGCCTACATAAGAGTTTCTAAAAAACAGAAAAAGTATGCTTTAGCAGCTTCATAGCTGTTTGTACAAATTTGGGAGAAAGTATAGCTATAAACAGACAAGCGTGAAAATACAAACTAACGACTACTGTTGTAATGACTAATGACAAACTACCTAAAGCCAGTAGTATTTCTGCCTATGTCTGAGACTTGAAGAAATAAGCAAGGCATTTTTTTTAATCCTAGCAAATGACTTGTAAAACATACGTTTTGGTCTTTACTGTGAATTTGCTGAGTACTACAGGGCAACTGTGAAACATTATTTTAGCACTGTTGTGTGTAGATCCTCACCCCCAAACCCTGTAATTAAGAGTTTAATCTATCAAGTAACTACTAAACAAACAAACAAAAATGGTGTAGTCCCACATTTTTCATACATCGATCTTTACGAAAGCAATTCAAACTATGCTTTTGCTAATTTAAAAACAAACAACAAAAGAAATCCTACGTTTTTATTTTCCCTTCTGTCTAATAACACTTTTAGGCTCTAGTCCATCCTAGTATAGTACTTCATTAGCAGTAAAGTTGCAGGCTACAGAATAAGGATTTGCAGTTATGTAAAAGCAAAAGGGTGTCACAAACACAAACACTTAGTTTTATAAAAATTTCTATAACCCACAAATGGCCAAAGTCATATTTTCCACTAAATTGCACCTGTGTGAAACCTTTATTTCAAATTTCAACCTGAACTTATAGTACTGAAGTACAAATTCTGTAGAAAGGACCATCATTTGGAAAGCCAAAAAGGCCTTACTTACCAAGAGGGGCTGTGACCGTAATTAGCATTCTTTGGGAAAGATGAATAACCAAGCTCTACTAATCTCTTCCAGGTTTGGTTTAAAACAGGATTCCCTTGACTTAAATCTTCCTAGAAAAAAAATTAACTCTTCTTCTCTTAAAACTATGTAGCTAAATTGAGTGAGCTTCTTTCAAAAGCCATGCCTTTATGATGAGCATTTGAATCCAACTTCACAAATAATTGGCAAGGTCTGACCAGAGTCCTCCCATCCTCCCCTCAGCCTCCTGGGAAGAGGAAGTAGTGGTGGAATAGGCCAGTGAGTGGAAATATGGATTTTTTTGTTTTTTTTAGCTAAATAACTTTATTAAATTATTTTCTTAATGAGAGTTAATCCAACATATGTGGGTATTAAAGTTATAAAAAGAAATAAAGTTCAAATATTTAATACAGAAAAAAGTAACTAATTCCCTTAGTAAAGTAAAATGCCAAGCAAGAATTTTTTAATGTGGAAATTTTCATCAGACTTACTTTTACAATAGTCGAGGCTACCACATTTTCACCTCCCTCTCCAAAACATTCCAGTAGACAAATATTTCATGAAATTTACCTCGTGTACTGAGGTGCTTCTGATAAGCATTCAGATGAAAACTTGACAGTACAGACACTCCAGAATACAAACAGCTACAGAGCTTGAAAGCACATTCTCAGTGAAAGGGAAACCTTCCAAACAATATTCCTGCCTGCTCTTATAAATTTAGCAACCACTTCAGCAAGCCAAAAGACAAAAGCTGTCTAATCTTGTTCAGTTGAGCCGCGTTGTTCAATAAAGTTTGGGAGTCAGTGCAGACAGGCTACGCCAGGCCAAATTATTGACAAAAACATACTGTCCGCCATGGCAACAAGCATTAGTCGGCTGGAAAAATGTAAGCAAACAGCCCACTGCTCCAGGAGCATCTGCCAATGGACTTGAACAGCCAAACACAAGGCGACTGTTCGTGCTTCTCTACATTAAACAGCTGCAAGCTCGGGGGTCACACCAAAACATGCAGTTCAAAAGTTTCAGGAAAAAATCATTTCAAATGTCATCATAATCCCAACTTCGTACCTCCTTCTTTCTATATATCCGTGCTCAAGTGAAAGTTAACGAATTCTTGCTCCGAAATGGAGAGCTGCCCAAGCATCACATTTTAGAGACTGTCCCAGATTTTCCAAATTCATCCAAAGGCAACCTACATCGAGCCAGACACTCTTAAACTCTGAGAACTCAAAACCCGTTTCGTTGCAAACTCTGCTTAGACCGTTTACAATACAATAAAGGTTGAAAAAAAGTAATCATGTTGCATGAAGCAGGACTCGAACACACACTCCTGTGCAGTGCTCACAAACTCTCAAATATTTCTCACTGCGGCTCAGGAAACAGTGTTTTTTCGCCTAAATTTCAGACAATCCTTCCAATATAAAAAATAAAACCCTGCACTGCATCACTAACTGGGAACACCTCCTGTCACCCTAACAAAATTAGGAACTCGTGGTACAAGTGTTCACCTGTTTTTTAATTAACACAGATTTTAAGCTATTCCCTTAAATCCTATTTTAACATCATTACACCTATCTTCCCCCAAGACACAGAAGACAGAGTGTAAGACAACAGACAATACTTACAACTCAATCCCAAGGCTCTGGCTAGCTACTTTCTGCAAACTTCTCTTGGTGGGCTTTCTCTAGCTGTGCAGACCCTCTAGGAACATTCTCGGTGTCTCCCTGCCTCCCACTCCCTCTCCCAGGCAATGCTGCTCCCATTAGAGGAATTAAAAGTGGTTGGAGCCATGCTAAATTTAACAAGCTCATTAGTATTCTTTCTGAGTGCTTCCGAGTGAACTCTCTCTATTCAAGCCGCTCTCTCCAGGAGAAGGGTCAGGCGGCTAATCATTAAATCAAACTAATGTCACCCTATCACAATCAGCCCAAGAGAAGGAGGGTTTATTATTTCAGTTTATGCTAAATAAACGGTTTTACAAATGGTCCCCAAGCAAGGTCAACAGCAGCTTCAATTACAAGACAAACTTAACAAGAGTTGCTATAAACCAAGTACTCTGTATTGACTTAAGAACAGGCTCAACTCCACATATTGCCACTAGCAGGGTTGTACAGGAATGTATATTGTAAAATAAAAGGGGGAGCTTCTTTCTTTGCCAGAATTTGCGACTGCATAGCGACTCCTCATTCACCTCTCTCCAACCAGCTAGCCGCTCAGCTCAATTCACCCCACACAAAGGCTGGAGCCCAGACCTCAATGGACTGAGTGAAACATGTTCAAAACTAGGCTCTCTATTGTGACTGAATTTCTTAACATCTTTTCAAAAAGCGGAGAATGCCTTGAGGCTAAAGGAAGAAACAGGCTAATGGTGAATTGGGAATTCTGAGCAAATTTCAGAGCCCTTTCCTCCTAGCTTTTGAGGTTGAAAGCAAGCTCTTTCCTTTCAAGTTTCAAAGTCCTTTTTCCTCCCGCAGTGTCACAGAAGGATTTGAAAAGAAGGTAATTGTGCTCGCAGTCTCCCTGATCAGAGCTTACGTCCTATTTCTGGTATTTCGGAATACTTCTTGCAATAATAGTGCATATAGCTCAATCCCTTAACCGGCCTGCACTCTGCAATTGCTCATTAAATGAACAATTGCGGGTATAAAATGCCTTTTATGTTCAAGGTCTGGATATAAGATAAGCATTCTAGGACTCTAAATTTGGTTTACTAAGGAAACTCTCCATCATTAAATTACAAAACTGAAGTCAGAATATCAGGCTTTCCCAGAAAAGTGGCACTCAGATTTCGGTGAGCCAAAATGAAGGGCAGATAGGGGGTGGGGAGGAAGCAACAAAATGTTAAAGAATGGGAGACTGAATACTCAGATTTCTAGCCAAATGGGATTCTAACAAGAAAATAATATTTCCAT